GAAGCCTTGATCAAGACCGGTATCTCTAATTTTGAAGAATTTCGATTTTTCTTTGACAGTGAGGGCGCGGTTGAGCCATGGCTCTCAAAGCTGTCGCTTGGGGATGGCAAGATGCTTCAGGTGTCCCGCTTGCGGCGGGCATGGCACGCCATCGCCCTCTATTTCAGGCAAATGGAGCAAGATCGCTCCAAGGTGGCCTCTGATGACCTCGATTCCATGCTTGGAGAGACCGAGCTGAGGGACACCAAGGTCAGCTTTTGGCGGAGGTACCGCCAACGATTTCCCCCGGAGGTGCATCCGTCTGACTCCACCCTCTCGAGGGTGAGCCGAGAGATGAGCAAGAGGATGCTGTGCGTGTTCTCCATATGGAAGGTCAAGTCCTTGCAATTTCAATTGATGACTACGCAGAAGAAGCGCAAACTCGGCGACAACTTGTTCACTGAAGAAGTTGAAGAAGAAGAACCGTCCGCCCGTGACACCGAGGCCTATTTGGACAAGTTGCAGACGTTGATGGTGGCGTACTCCATGGCAGGGGTGGGACCTCTGCCTGCGCCAGGGCCTGGGTTTGATCCCAAAGAAGAATTGACTTTGGGAGCAGACAGCACCCGATTCGCCCAAGTGCCACTGGACATCGCCATGCAATACTTCTATCGAGCGAAACGAGCCACGGCCGCGCTCCCGCCAGGCAAACGTCTGGCATGGCTCCAAACCCGTGATGCCGAAGAACGGGCAGAGTGGACAGCGCGTTTTCGAGAAAGCTCTCAGTCGCTCGGCGTCATCATCAAGGAAGTCTACCAGGCGCGAGATGCACACTGGCTGCCGCCCACACCAGCAGAGGCAGCGTCCACCGCCCCGGGGAAGAGCGCTCCGCCAGCAGCCGCGCCAGCGGCCTCCAAGTTTGCATTGGGGAAATCGATCCAAGGCAAACAGGTGGCCAGAGTACTCCGTGATGGGACGCTCCTTTGCCAGGCATTCCAGGAAGGATCTTGCAAAAGTAAGGGGGGCAAATGCAAACTTGGCCAACATCGTTGCGGCCACGTTACCAAGAAGGAGCGGGTGTGTGGAGCTCCGAACCATGGGGCGGCCGCTTGCCGCAACACCCCGAAGGCCTGACGGGGCCTTGAAGAGGCAGCGGCAGTCTCTTCAGGGTCTGTCGAGGATCCGCCGCAATCAGGGGAGGGACCCATGATGGCCGACCTGATGTCAGGACCCAATGCACCGCTCACCAGAGCCTTCATCTTTTGCGGCTGGCGATGCATCACCATCGACTGGTTGATCAACCCTCAACATGACCTCGCACACCCGGAGTTTCAGCAAGAGCTTCACGAGAAGTTGCAGCAAGCCGATTGTATCTGTGCCGCTTTGGACTGTAGCACCAAGTCCCGCGCTCGAGAGATTCCCAGGAAGTTCGAGGACGGCCGACCCGCTCCGAAACCCCTGCGGTCCGACGAACACCCCACCGGCCTGCCACACCTCCGAGGGAGTGACCTTCGGCGAGTGACCAAGGACAACCAGGCCTGCGACTTTGTCCTCCAGGAAATCCAGGAACTGGCCGATCGCGGTGGAGTGTCACTGCGGGAGAACCCGGCGAGGAGCCTCCATTGGGAGCTGCCCCGCGAGAAGCAGATGTTGGCATCCGGCGATTGGCAGGACACCTGCTACGCAGCATGTTGCTTCATGGGGGCACGGTGCAAGCAGCAGAGACTCAGGCACAACATCCAGGAGATCTCTCAGTGGCCGCCACTTCAATGCCATCATCAGCACGACCCAGATGAGTGGAAGCCCTACACCTTGGATGGGCAGCGAGTCTTCCCTAGCCATGAGGAAGCTGAGTACACAGCCCCGCTGGCCTTCGCCATTGCGGTGTCCACTAGTTGGTGGGCAGTACGTGTTGGTCGAGCCAAGTTGCGCGTCCCGCGGATGCCGCCGACTGAGACTGTGGGCCGCCGGGAGCACTGGCTTCACTACGACCCCCGCTCTATGCGCAGCTGGGCTATGACTCCTTTGGCGATCCAGCTGGGCCTGCGCCCAATCGACCCGCGCGAGCGAGCACGGGTGCCTCGCGTGCGTCGAGTAGTCGACCTCTTGGTGGACGGCCACCTTCCATCCAAGTGCATCTACGTAGGGCGAGGGCATCACAGCCACAAGTTGCCCCTGTCGAAATGGTGCTCTCCGTACACCCCAGGGCATGATTGCACCGCAGATGAATGGCTTCCTTGCTATGTTGAGTTCATCATGTCATCCAGGGCGGCGGAACTCCCAGAGCTGGCGGGCTGTACCTTGGCTTGTGATTGTCCGCACGACAGTGACGTGTGCGAAGCTGATGCGCTGGCAGGGTTGGTCTTTGACGCCACAGCCCCGGAAGCACCTCGCTACTTGGCAGCGGCAGGCGGGCAGGCCCAGAGGCATCACTCAGCAGCATCTCGCGCATTGCGGTTGGGGGTCATCTCCAGCCGCGGAGTGGCTGCGCTGGAGAGACCAGCACGATCTCAAGGCAGATGGGCCCCTGGGACCACATTTGGCTAGCGCAGCTCTGAGACAGCGGCAGCGTCATGCCGAGGGCCAGCAAGCAGGAGCTTTGAGCCATAAAGCCGCCCTACCTCCGCTTTTGAGTTTTGGGCTGGACCCGGACACCCACTTCCAGCGTGCTTGCCTTCGAAGCCAGGCACCCATCCCGACTGAGCAGTCGCCCCTCCTGGACGATGATCTATGGTTTGTGGCTGAACTCTATGCATCGCGTTCCGCAGAGCTACCACGACTCCGCGAGCAGAGCCTAGGCATCTTGAAGGAGCTGAAGCAGCGATGGGGGAGCGTGGGCGAGCATCTGCGGACTTTCCAAACATCAGCGATTCGGGCAGTTACCCGTTCCAGGGACATCGGCCTAACCGCTCTCTTGGTGACCCTAACCTCCTGGGCAGACATCACGTACCCTTACGGCTTGGTAGCGGGACTGCCAGCGGTAGGTACGGCACCACCCTACGGGGTCTTTCCGGAGCAACCAGGTCGTAGCCTCACCATGGATGACGTGCTTGACGACTGGGAAACCCACAACTACAAGACCCTCGCCGCGCTCAAACCTGGCAGACATGATGCCGTGCTACTGGAGCAATCGCTGAATGATGCTGCCCAAGGCTTCTGCTCTGCACCGTTGACCCAGGCACAGCTCCTACGAGAACTACGAGGAGAACCATTCCGCCTCATCCCCCGATGTGTGATTGTCCAATCCTCGGGCAAAAAGCGGATCATTGACAATGGAGATACAGGAGGCCAGTCGGAGAGGTCGTCGGATTGGAACAAATTGGTGCTATGCTCGCCGTTGCGCCCAGCACAACATGTGGGGGCAGTTGCCTCACTGTTGACAGATGAACAGTGGCACACCCTTACGACTGCTGACGAGTGGCAGTCAGGAGGGGAAGATTGGCCGAACGCGTATCGGCATTCCCCTATCAGTCAGGCAGAGAGCCGCGGCTGTATCGTCTGCTTCTGGCATGCTGAGCGGGGGGAACCCGCCTTTCAGGTGTCTTCATCCCTCCTCTTCGGCCTTCCGCTCGCGGTTACATCGTTCAATCGGTATTCACGCCTCATTGAAGCACTGGGCCGACGGCTTACATACAGTCTGGTGTCACTATACTTCGATGACGCCCACATCACGGACCTCCAGTCAGGCCTCGGCTCTAGCCAACAAGCTTTCTGTCAGTTGAACACCTTATTAGGTACTCCGTTTGCCGAGGAGAAGAAACAGTTGATGCAGCCTACCGGCACCTTTCTGGGCCTTGATCACGACTTTACGAACCTCAGTCGGGGCTTCGTGAAGTTTTGGGCCCGTGATCGCTTGATTCAGAAGACAGATGCGATGATTACCGAGGCACAGACACACAGCAGCCTGTCCTCAGGCCAGGCATCCAAGCTCTACGGCATGCTCAACTTTCTCGAGCAGGGCATGTACGGAAGGTTGGGATGCGCAGGCCTGGCAGCCATTAAAGCACGCCAGACAGAGCGCAACCGTGACCTCACTCCAGAGCTGCAGCGCAACTTCGATCTAATTCACTCCATCCTTCGCCACCGACCTTGTCGAGAACTTCCCGTGAGACCGTCCGAATGTTTGCGGTTTGTTGTCGCCTCTGACGCAGCTTTGGAGGAACCGAAGCAAGGCACCGGAGGATTTTTAATTGTCTGGCACGATCCGGTGGGACCGGTTCGAGAAGCCTTCATCGCCAACATTTCTCCGGAAGTGTACCAGCTGTGGGAGCCTGGAGATAGGCAGATAGCACAGTTGGAAATGGTGATGATCATTTATGCCCTCACATATCGGGCGCAGGCCTTTCGAGGCCGTCGAGGCATCTGGCTGATCGACAACGTCGCTAGCCTCATGTGTCTGATTCGGGGCCGTTCCCAGTCACCCGATCTGGAACGCATGTGTGGTTTGATTCATGTCATACTGTACGCTTTGCGTACCTGGATGTATTGGGAATACATTCCGTCTAAGAGTAATTGGGCCGACGCCATTTCAAGACTAGGTTGGTCCGATCCGTGGTGGCGAACCAACGGATTCACCCCTTTTTCCGTCTCTTGCCCTCTCTGCCTTTGGCACCTTCCGCTGCCCGCAGTGATCCGAGTCGTAGAATTTCTCTAAGTGCGTTGGGAGGATTTGAAGTGCATTGGGAGTGGTTTCCGGAGTGACCGGAAGGATACCACAAGGGTCTGATTGTGTCAGGCCTGCTGATGCAGGTAACCCAACGCAATTATCCTGCTGGACATGGCAGGTTGAAGACTATACTGGCAAGATGACTGTGGAAAAAGGGATTGTGTGCGGACCACCGTAGCTACGAGAGTCAACCTTGGAAAGAAATGTATATATATATATATATATATATGCTCAAAATCTGGTTGCAACTATAATCTACAGCTCAAAAATGCTACCAAAATGAGCCCTGGAGAAGGACACATATTGAAACAGTGATAAACACCTTCTGGTCCTCGCATGATTTCTTTTTGGCCAGGCCCATATCTCAGGATGGTCCTGGAGTATGGGAGGATTGGGGGGAGTGTGGATATTGTGGATGAAACCTGCAATGGGGATGAGGCTTGGTTCAACAGATCTTTCAGCAGTCCAATACTGCCGGAAGTGACAGAATGTTTTGAGTACAACGCATTTTCACCTGAGAAGACCAGAATCACACCTGAGAAGGCTACTGGGTGGGTAGTGACTTCTGTTGTGATGTTATGGAGATAGACTTCGATCTCAGGAAGAATGCTGCCTTCTTCACCTTCCAGGGCCGTTTGCCACTAGGACCACTTGCTTGCCCCCCATGTGGGATGTGGTGGTTTGGGCTTATCGTGCCGGCCTTCAGCTCACTGGCCGCGGCCTGCAGGACTTCAGCTCAGGAAGCAGAACGAGGGACGCTTGAAGGGAGCTTTCTTGGTGGAAGACATCTTCCCTGGCCCTGCTGCAGAACACGTCTGGCGGGGCGATATCCTGCATGCCCTTACGGTGGTGATGGACAGGCTGGGGTGGAGTTGTGCTGCGCTTCTGCATGTACGTGAGCACATCCGAATGCCTGCTTCTCCTTGATATCTCATATCAATACAATATCAATGTATATAGTATATGTTTGTTTGTTTGTTTGTTTCTTCTATCTACATGTTTGTTTGCAAGATGCACCATGTATTTGTCCATTTTGAGACCACACATGACAGATTTGTTCACAGTATTGCATTCATGCAAATTGGGTCTAGGTATGAGAAGACTAAAAGGGAGGTTTGAGCACACGCTTATCAATAGCGAGTCTGTGAAAGAAGCTGTGAACATTTAGGAGGCACACCAATCTCAGTGAGTGTAGATTGAGCACCATCAACTTAGATCTCGATTCCTGCATGATTGGGGGTTCTAAAGCTTTGACGCGTGATAAGCTCACAGGGAAAACGAGGTCAACGTGTTTCATAGACGCGTTGGTTCGTGCGTTGGTCGAGCAGGGCCAACCTGGGCATCAAAACTGAGGAGCGGGATACCCGCGCGGTCCGAACCCATCGCGGATCACGTTCGTTGGATGAACGTATGTGATCATGTTCATGTTTGTGTCAAGTTTGTTAAATGGTATTCTGTATTCAACCTTTAAACTTCAAAGACTTCAAGCAGAACACCTCCTTGAGATCTCGATTCCTGCATGAATGCACCTCACAGGCCATCTCCACACCCTAGTGCCGTGGCCCGCTTCCACAGGACTTCGTCTCCAGCGTAGTGGGTGGCCTTGGTCGCTGGAGACAGACTTTTGGATCGAACGCGTCGGGTCGACGTGCATCGGGTCGACGAGCGCGGAGATCCATGATGGGACTGAACTCGTGAATGGACGAGGTACGTGGATCCCTGAGGCAAGAACTCGTCGCTGTTCCAAAGCGTAAGTTATATGATATGAGGTCGAGTTGGATGCTCAGGGAGTCCAGTTGTCCAGCGTTCATGATGAATCTAGCGTAAAGGACATAACAAGTTGCAAAATGCTGCGTGGGGGTTCTTGAAAAATCCTCAAGCTTCACTCTCTAGCCAAAGGCCGATGGTGTTGGACATATATAGTATATGATGTACTAGTTATATATACATATAGATCTATAGTTATTAATTTGCATGCTGACCTGATACAGCAACCGTCTACGCGTGCATTGAATGGGGTAAATATTTGCCGAGCTACGGCAGCAGACATATCAATATCTTGTTTGCAGGAAACGTAAGGACACGAGACGTAGAGACCAAGGGGTCAGAGCCCTTGCGGCCTTGTGGACAACATAACTGACTGCAAAAGTATGTCCAACAAAATTGCAGCCTGCAAAACGAAAGGTTGAAGTCAAGCTGACCAGCACCGATAATGACTTCAGCAGTGCGCAAATTCTTCAGGGCCCTTTTCCAGCAATACTGTATATATATATATATTATATATATATATACGCTCCGAACATCCCACCCAAGAAGCTTTCTTCGTTTAAGCATGTATAGGTTACTGATACTGGAAAGAGGCCCGTACGTTCGCAAGACGTTTCGAGCGTTTTGGAGAGAGTTCAGCGCCAAAAACGACACGTGGATGCCATTGTTTTGAGGACGATCGTGGATGCCTCCTTCATTAACACTGTGGAGGACATGGTGGATCAGTTGAACTCCAATACAATGCTGGGATCCGACACGGTGCCTTTGGCGTTCGGATGGAGGTCAAAGGGTGGGAGCGTTCATCTGATGACTCAACTGCTGTCAGCGTGGGACCGAAGCAGGGCGGGGTCTAAGGCAGAGTGTTCATCAGTTTCGTTTCTTTTGTCGCCCTTTTGTGTGACAGTGACGGGATGTGACGGGTGATTTGATGCGTGGTTGTTCTTTGCACAAAACGATTCGATGCGGCATCGCACCTACTGGGTTATTTGTTTGGAACAGTTCTTGAATTTGAATATTATATATTGTAACAAGGTAGTGGGTCAAGGTAAAGGTACCACCTATACAGTTAATTATTCGTGTGGAATAGCTTTGCAAGAGATTTACATGTGAGAGATATACCAAACGACACATTCAAAATCTGAAACATGTTCATAATGTCCTCTATAAGTACTTGTATGACGGGTTCTTCTCAGGCATGTAATGGAAATTGAATTGTATCAAGGTGTCAGGAAAAAAGTCAGAACTTACAACATTGTTGAACATTATTTATTTAGAATCTATGTGGAAGGAATATATAACTATCTCAATTGTTCCAGAGGTGGTGCTCCTCATGTTGCCAGGGTGAAGGTCAGCTGCAGCACCTTCGACAGCACCGTGTCCAGCACCGATGTTAGGAGATTCTCTTGATTTTTGAACGCGACATCAGCTCCTCACCTGAGCCAGATGAGATCCTAGAGCCCGCGCCAAAGTAGCGAGATGCGGACTTGGCCGATCGATTGGAAGACAGGGGCGGAGTTCGTGCGGGATTGGACCGAGGGACATGGAGGTCCCATGGACATCAAGACACTGTTTAGTGGAGGTTTGCTTCGAATATTTAGAAAGAAGGACTGGAGAAGAGCGGAGTCCGGGGGACATCCATTTGGACTACGCGTTTTGACATCCATTGGTTGACTTTTTTTTCCAGATCTTTCCAAGTTGAAAGGACGCGACTCTGACGCGACCCTTTGAAATGAGTCTCTCCAGTTTTCCGCTCTTTGCTTTGGCTCCCCGGTCGAACGGTGTACGACTCGACTGATCAACTCATCCGTGAGCTCCTCCGGTCGACGGGCTTACACCGCCAGGAGGTGTCAGCAGCGCAGTGGGCGTTCAAAGAGTTGGACCTCAACAGGCGCGACGGGATGTCCCGATCCGACGTGACGTCGAGGATTGTGCGGGCCATCCGCCCAGCGCGACGCAGCAGAAAGCTTTGGGGGAGCGTTTGGGCACCAAACGGTTGGGCACTTCTCTTGAGTTCCCCTCATTCGTTGGGCTACTTCCCCAAAATTGGCTCCTAACAGACATGTTGGGATTTTTTTTGTGCTTAGGAGATCCGTAAGTGTTAGACCCCCAAATAGGTCTAAATAGGTAGAGAAGTAGATCCCCACATTCAGAATGTATTGGAAGACCGTGCCTAAGGGTTAGGAGCCAATTCATCATTTGGCACTATGGGGGGCTCGGGATCACCACACATTGGTGGTTTTGCTGCTCGGTTGTTTTTTATATTTTATGGTTTTGTTGTTTTTTTTTTTTTCGATGTTCTCGACGGATGAATCCTCTAACCTGGGGTTTCGAGGTTCCAAGTTCCAGGTGGCGTTCTTGGTTGGTGGCGTTCTTGGTACATCCTAAGAAGTATATTTAGACGCCTTTTTTGGTGTGGAACATTGACCCTTGAAACACCAATCAAAAACTGCTGTACTCCAATTGAAATGCAAAAAATGCCATACAAACCGGAGGATTGGAGATGTCTCACTCAGCTTCTCAACACGCCAGGCAGCTTCTCCAACGGTTGTCTTCCTGAAGGTTCCAACGCGGGGGAGGGCGATCATCGGGCGGGAGAGACCACCGGCGGAGAGACCACCGGCGATCATCGACGAAATCGTGGAAAGTGATGGACAGTGAGAAGGTGATTGCTTGATCCTAGTAGCATTCTTGCTCCTAGTAGTAAGGCCAGGAGCCCCTAGTAGCTTCTGGCTCCTAGTAGCGATGCCTTTTGTTCCTATTTTTTGGTAGCGTCCTAGGTGATTGCTTGAGTCCTCGTTCAACTTTGGTCCTCTGTCAGCTGCCAGAAAACGTTGACAACGTGAGGGTTAGGTTATTCATTGGAGTTTGCGCTCGTGTGTATAAGTGTGTATACAGGAAAAGTACAGGTTTTTGTTTCTTCATGTGTGTTTTTTTTTTGGCGAACAAAGGTCGTCCGCCCATGCTTTATGGAGTAAACACAACCTTATAATAGGACACTGTTCCAAGAAACTGACAGGTATGTTTACCAGTTCATTCACCAAAGAGTTATGAACACCAAAGGGTCATGAACACCATCTGGAGTCATGAAGACCAAAGGGTCAAGAACACCATCTGGAGTCTTTGTCAGTATCAAACGCATCACCTCTTTTTCTTGCTTTTCACACGTTGAAACACCACGCCAACACCACGGTCCAAGCGCCCCGTCCGATGGCGAAGCTTCCGGTGAAAGAGCGGCGAAGTGACAAAGACAGTCAGGGTGTTCTCAAGAAACTTTCGATCATAGATGGCCTTGTACTAGTTGGTTGAGATCAATGATGGCCTAGTCATGTTCCATCTTCAATTAGTAAACCGGATGCCCCTCCCTTCCTAGCAAACAATCGAGGGAGAGTGAACGGAGTCAACCCCACCAAAACTAGCTGTGATTGAGTTTGAGTTTGAGTAGTAGCAGTGGTAGTGGTAGTAGCAGTAGTAGTAACAGCAGTAGCAGTAGCAGTAACAGCAGCAGCATCAGCAAACCTCAGAAGAGGTGAAGCAAGGATCTGGAAAGGGGAGCAGTAGCAGAAGCAGTGGAATAGAAAATGAAGTTCAAACATTCTTCCCAGGGCTCCAAGTTGGCACATTAATCCCACCTCCCAAGCAATGTCATACAATTCACATCCCCTGTGCTTGTGTACTATCCATTGGAAGAATTGAATGGTGCAATGATTTCAAAGAGTTTCAATCATTGAGAAAGGTTTTTGAGAAAGGTTTTCCGATCAGAGTTCCAGGAAACAAAGCCTCAGAAAAGGTCAAGTCAAGCTTCAAGGGCAGCAATAGCAGAACAGTAGAGAACTAAGCTTAGATAATTTGCCAGGGCTCCAAGTTGGCGCATTAATCCTACCCTCCAAACAATTCACACAATTCACTTATCCCGGGCTTGTCAACTACCTCCTTGAAAATTTGTTTGGAGCAATGATTTCCATGAGTTTTAGGGCTTGTGAGAAGGTTTTCCGGTCAGAGTTCCAGGAAACAAGCAAACCTCAGAAGAGGTTAAGCAAGGATCTTAAACGGCAGCCATAGCTGAACAATGGTCAACTAAATCAATGCAGAAAGCAGACCCCAAAAAAATCACAGCGGACACCCAAAAAAAATAGTATTCCCTACCACTAAGCTATTCAGAGTGTGGGAGTCATGTTGCGAACACTTTGTTATGTATCCCATCCCATTTGAATTCAACATTCGTGGGGATTCCGGGATCAAAACAAATGGGATATATAATAGTTGTGGGTCCGAATGGGACTATATATCCTGTCCTTTTTTATCCCGGAAGCCCCATTTGATTCGTCTTCGTCTCAAAAGGACATCCGATTATTTTTGTTTCGAGAAGATCGTGTGATCTTGAACACCACGAAGAAGGTGGGTGAATCACTACATATCACTACCCATTGATCCAACAGAGCAAGCTTCCTAGCCAGCATCGCGGGGGGACTGTCCGATCAGAGTGTTGCCACCAAGCCCCAGTAGGTCGCCTCGAGGTCAGAACGCCACATGCATTTAGGGTGCCCGACTAAACTGAAGCAGTACAAAATGATACAACATATATACTCTGGACTCTATACACAGGCCATGAATGTCAGTTTTGCCTGCTTCAGATTCTATGGATGATGCCACTTCAACATCGCACTGGTACAGCACACTTCACCCCTGCGTTGGCAGCCCAGTGATCATCAGATTCTCAGCTTGGTCCTTTTCCGGATTCCGGACACCTCGCCATCCGATTCCGACTCGCCCGTTAAGACCACCCAGCAAAGCCTGCGGCGGCGGCGCCCCATCGGCCTGCGTGGCCAAGACGACCCAACGCGACGCGTGAACAAAGACGAATGCGGTTGGTTCGTCGATGCACAATGCGGTTGGTTATAATTTCATATAAATAAAAATGTTATTTACATTGACTTTGGATGAATATGAAGCCCCGAACAGATTCGCATGGAACCCCAAACGAACTGTGTTGTATAGGAACATGGTCTTCCACGGGTCAATTCTCCGGTGCCATGTTATGAATCAAGCCCAACGTGATGCCTAGAAGCAACCTGGTAGGGATGATTCATCGACAGGGTCAACATGAGGTTTTGGGACACAGTTTTTAGGTCTATTTGGAGGCATCTGGATGGGGGGTTTTCCAGTGGTCAGTTGATCAACAGCTGACGCCAAAGAGTGAGACCTCCTTGGAGTGAGACCTCCTTAGAGTCAGTGAGAAGTCTTTGTCCTTCTGTTTCCTTCTGTTCCTTCTGATCTCCCGGTGCTTTGGTCTTCCATTTCTGATGTCCTTTTCCATCGTCATGGAGCCCGAAGGGATGGGATTCTAACCCCCAAAGAGGGGGAATGAGGGTTCCTTCATGTTCCTTCTGTTTGTGGGGTTAGATGTTGAAACATCTAATTCCTGTTTCGTTCCTTCATGTTCCTGTTTAGGATTCCCCCATATTCCCCCCATGTTCCTTCTGTTTGTGCGTTTTCTTCGCTTGAAAAGAACGCCGACGACTCCGTGGGTCAGAGACGAGGAACACATGCCGGCTCTTCCAGTCCGTGGATCACCGGATCACTGCTGATTGGTCTCCCCACTGATAGAACAGGTGGAAAAGGCATTAAACCGTTCTATTCCAGGGATCTCCAGCATCAGGAGTGGGGCAAGGCAAGGCCTATTTGGACTGACTGATTTGAGCTGTTTCAAGTCGAAGTCGGGGACCCATGGCCGACCTCCTGTCGGCCCATTTGGCCGACCTGTTTCGCCATTTTTGCAGGAACGGATGGCAAACCTTCAGTGCCTGAAGTGCCTTGCTGGTTCTTTTTTCTCAGCCTTTGGATCAAATGGGCCCCTTAAGTCCGACCAAGAAGTGCTTGAGCTGGTCCGAGAAGGACTCATCGATCGACTGGCACTGGTTCAGATCGATCGTGGGTGCACAATGGTTCAGAAGATCTCCAAAAGAACCAAACACTATTGGTGTTGCTACTGGTGTTGCTATTGTCTATTGCTTTCTATTGCTTTCATTGTCTATCCCATTGTCTATTGCATTGTCTATTGTTGAAAGGCTCAAAAGAGGCTTTGCCTGGCGTCGCCTGGCGTACCTAAGTTGATGGTCTTTGAAGTTATGGGCTAGAGATACAGGGTTTGGCTATCACAACATCAAAACAAAAAGAACTATCACCGTACATCACGCGGTTTCCATGGACGGAGAGGTCCTGCCGGAGGAAGCCGATGGCCGCCCTTGGGTTGGAGACGAGGTTGAAGCAGGTGACGGTGAGGAAGGCTCCGCAGGCAGGGTTCTGCGCTTTAAACTCGCAGGATTGTGGAAAATCGTCTTCCAAAGGTCAATTTTTGGGTTCCATGTTAGTTTTTTGGGAGTGTATGTGGGAGAAAAATCACATACCATATTGTACCAGGGCCTTCAAGGGGTGGTTAATGGACTCATTAACATGGAAGTGGAAAAACCCTGTTTGTAAAGGAAAGTGTTTTTTTTCTTTTGGGACCATACCATCCACTTCCAGGACTCCTGTCGGGGTGTCTATTTATAGCCTCAAAAAGCTGTGATTCGGGGTGTCCATGTCTACCACGCCTTGAAGGCCCTGGTACTTGGATCATTCTGACAATCTGTCGGGCTGTTGGCATTCCTACGTGTAGAGCCGTATACGTACAGCTCATTGGCTGAATGTCAGAGCGGCTGTATACTTTTGGAGCTGTTTGGGACCTGAAATTGATCTCAAAATAGCATATTCACCACTGGGGTCACATAGGTGCCTACTTCATACTTGGCAGTTGAAAGCAACTTCAGGGCAGGGCTTGGTAATATGCATCGGCGGGGTTCCGATGACCAGAACGATAGAAAGCTCGTGATCCATCATAGGTACCCCACACATAGCCTATATACACTTCCCCAAACAAAGCTCAACAGCTAATGGAAGATCCATTTTGTTGCCTGTGATCTGAAATTTGTGCAGGTGAGAAGCCTGGCAAGCCAGAGGTGGAGGCCAGAGATTTCTTCGACCGGGCGTCCGACCGGCGTTTTTGGTTGGAAGACATCGAAGGGAGACGGATCAGAATCCAAAGGGAAACCGACCGGTTCACAGTTTTTGGGATGTTGATGGTTGCAATCTGTTGCGATCAAGACATCCTTCATTGCAAGGAGTTGTCGAGCATCAAGAGGCTGATTTCACGTTGACATGATTGTTTGATGTGGATACACGTGGTTGGATAAAGTTTGGAGGAACTGTGGGTTGACCAGAATGCTGGTACAGGGCATAAAGATTTTGGCCCACTTTGCCTTGCTTTGCTCCAAATAGATCCAAATAGTGTTCAACATGCGCAACATTCCTAGTTAAACTATGAATAGTAATGAATAGTATGATCAAATAACTATATATATATATAATATTCAAAAATATGGTACCACCCCCATGGCACCATGGTAGATCATGGTAGTCTTTCTGGTTTCTGGAGCTTTGCAATAAACCATCGGTGCGACTTAAATGCTTTGCCCTGTGCGGTCGGCCCGTCCTGTCCCCGGTAAATTGCTCGTCATTCTGTAAATGACACCAGAAAGACCAACGGGTGGGGCCAATCATTGAACCCCCAAAAGTGACTTTCCGAAGGTCACCCATTTTCGTGATCCGAGAAGTGAGACCCATGACGGGTCCATGTTCGCCCCGTCACATTCCTTCCCTAAGAGCGCCGAGCGGTTTTAGAGGACCCGTGAATCCATGTCAATCCCTTAGTGGGTACGGTGCATGTACAACAATCTCACACGTTTGGAGACATTTTGAGTAGAGGCCCTGAAAAGAATGATCGGTGGATGTGTTGGCTCCACCGGTCGGTTACCGGTCAATGGATGGCTGTTTGCGATTGGGATGATTCATCCAGAAGAGACGCCCAAGTGTACAACCACTATATAGTTGTGTAAGATGTAGATATAGATGTATATAATGTACAACCAAGTGTACATACAAACAATAGGGATTATATAGATGGAGGCACGGTGACAAAGGGCCCTGCGCTTTGTGCGTTTTTGACCCTCGACACTACATATAACTAGTGATGTTACATGGGGGGTGGGGGTGGGGTGGGATAATGACGTTGATGCGGGGTTGAGATGGGATAATGACGTTGATGTTTCATGAGGATTACGGTGATGTTGATGTTACATGAGGGTTACGCTGATGGGGGGGTGGGGCCACGTTCGTTGTCGATGCAGTATAGGTTGTGAGTCACGGTCTCTTCCCCGGAAAAGTACTTATATGTTCCATCAATGTCATATGTTTTAATGGGCTCCCGTTTTTGTTCACCCTCGAACAATGTTTTTTTCACCCTCCCTTTTTTTCCCACCCTCGAAACCTTTTCTTTCACCCTCAAGATTCCTTTTTTCCCCACCCTTTGGAACCTTTTTTTTTCCACCCTCCCAAAACCTTTTATTTTCACCCTGCACCCTGTCATTTTCACCCTGTAGCATGTTTCTGTCACCCTTCACCTTGTTTTTTTCACCCTTCACCCTGTCTTTTGCACCCTCGACCCTTTCTTTTCAACCCTCCGCCGGTGAAGCAGGTAACCCATGGAACCTGCACAGAGAACGATGTCACCTCCGGTTTGTTTCACACCGCTTGTCCCTGCACCTGCCAAACCCTTTGTGTTCACCTCAATAGCTTCTTGTTACTAGCCCTTCGGAACCCTCCGGAAACTGTGTAGAGACTGTCCGGAACGACGGCAACCACCGGAAACTGACCCGGACGCCTCCGGAACGTGAGGCAGCACAGGATCCATCCAAAGGAAGTGGGATTAAAAAGAAGGGGTAGCAACCAAACTGTGTTTTCCCCAAATGCTGTCGATACTTGCCTTGCATTGGTAGCCCACCGAGCAACCAGCAAACCAATCAACCAAAACCACACAATCCTCCCAAAGGCTGTCGATATTTGGTTTGCATTGCAACAAGCTAGCCAACCAACCAACACACCAAGCCAAGGAAGGAGGGTGAAAAAGAATTGGTCGAGGGTCAAAAAAGAAAGGGTAGAGGGTGAAAAAAGAAGGTTCGAGGGTGAAAAAAGAAGGTTCAGAGGGTGAAAAAGAAAGGTGGGAGGGTGGAAAAAAAGGACGGGGTGAAAAAAAAGGGGTTCAAGGGTGAAAAAAAAAGGTTGCCCTTTTTTAATGCGTTATGCTTGGCACAGTGTCTTTTTGTATACCACAAACTACTTCGGCCGTCGAAACAAACAACCACGGAAACGGGGTAGAAATGCTGAGATTTGCGGTGCAAAATGCTCTTTGCCTCCCCAAAACATAGGTAATTCACCTACTGTTCAAAAACCAAGGCCTCAAAACACTGAAAGGGTTCACAAAAAAAAAAGAGCTCGCCAACGATCCGTAACTGTAACAACGTCTTGAGGCCCTAATACCAACTGTGTGACCATATGAGCAGCCTGATTTATTTACGGAAAGCTATTTAGTAAAGGACCCGACATTGGGATTGCAGAATTTGCATTTTACTTGGAAAACGATAATATACTCATCAAAAACGATAACATATTGATAGCATAATGTTTAATTATAGGAAAGCTTAGTTTGCATAGCTGCAGTACAGCTTTTTAACCATGACCATCAGGGAACCTCGTTTCTGCTTAGTGTAGCCTTTCCCAAACCGTTTTTGACTTCGGACTTTGGCGACAGGTTTGTCCGAAATGTAGCTGTAGTCAAACGATAACCTAAAACGTAAATGTAGACGAACCTGTGCTACGAAACCAGTGCCCCACCTAAACAAGCTCAAGACATGGCTGGTCTACTACTACTGCTGCTGCTGCTGCTACTACTACTGCTTCTACTACTACTACTACTTCTTCTTCTACTACTTCTACTACTACTGCCACTACTACTGCCACTACTACTACTACTACTACTACTACTACTACAGCAACAACAACTACTACTACCACTACCACGCCACTACCACTACCACTACCACTACCACTACTACTACCAGTACTCCTCCTGCTGCTGCTGCTACTGCTACTACCAGTACCACTACCACCACCACCACCACAACCACAACCACAACCACGACGACGACTACTACTGCTAGTACTGCTCCTCCTCGTCCTGCTGCTGCTGCTGCCGCCGCCACTGCGACTGCCATTGCTACTGCTACTGCTCCTACTGCCACTACCACTACCGCTGCTACTACTAGTACTACTAGTACCACTACTATTGCTACTACGACTACTACCACTAGTACTGCCACTAGTACTACTAGTGCTACTAGTACTACTACTACTACTGCTACTGCTACTTCTACTTCTACTTCTACTTCTACTACCACCACCACTACCACTACTGCTACTACTGCTACTACTACTACCACATACTACCACTACCACTACGACTACTACGACGACGACTACTACTACTACTACCACCACTGCTACAACAACAACTACTACTTCTACTACTACTGCTACTACTACTCCTGCTGCTACTACTACTCCTACTTCTACTGCTACTGCGACTACTGCCCAGACCACCAGGCGACAAGTCAAAAAACATGCTGGCGCTGTGTGTAGCGATGCCACCATTGAAGGCAACACCCACGACGTTACCACACAGAAGGAGTTTTGACCGTCGCACGTCTGCTTCCATATCCAAAAAGTCTGCCGCATTGTGAAAACAACCTTTAACATAAGTAAGGCTCAAAACGTGGCAAACGATAATACACTCACCAAATTGAAATGTGCAAGGCCCACATAACAAATAAACAGCGTCGCTCATATAGATCTATCCGCCCGTACCTGGCACTGACCCCAAGCCCCAAAGCGGCTCCCATTGTGGATGCACCGTAGGCGGAAGCCGCTGGCTCACAAGGCGACCGCCGGGATCCACCGGTCGACCGTGTGGCTCGCCTCCTTCGCTTCCGAGCGGAGCGAGGTCTTCGGTGAGGTCTTTGCGATCGGTTTAGTTTAGAGAACCCAGCTCTTGTGAAGAAGTGCTTTTGTGTGTTTTTTCATGATATAGCGTGATAGCGAGAGATTAAGGCAGGCAGACTAGCGATAATTACTAGTTTAGGGTTCCTTTTGTAAGGCAGGATGCAGCAAAAAACGCTAAAACATCACAGACACATGCTTTTCTGCATTATGTTTTGGCTTCGTCCTGCAGTTGGGAATCAATTTGCAAAAGGGGCGATTTGTCGATGCTTTCAGACCCAAGAAGTGCGCAATACGGGGGTCCACCGGATCAACATAGATATTTTTTTGTTATGTTGTCGATGTTTGCTGTTGCTTTTGGGGATGAACCAGTTCACCACTTCATGTTCTGGTGAGACATGTTGGAATTGAACATAAACAACCAATATTGGTGACCCATAAACAACCATTATTGATGACCATTTGTCAGGATCAACATTATTCCCAGAACTTTGACCCACCATTATACCCTTCTCTATTTTGCAGGTGAGAAAGAGGATGGACCAGTTGAGCCTCCACCGCTGCATCCTCAAGGGGCCGATTTTTTTTCGGCATTGCCGTGCGACTTGGGACTTGTAAAGACTCATTGTTGAAGTTGTAAGCTAACAGTCATCATCATCATCATCATCATCATCATCATCATCATCCACTTCTTTTTGGTATGTTCATTCACACGGAAGTGACTTTGTCGGAAGGTGTCACATTTTAGGAACCATTTTCTCAGGCAACAAACACCTGAAGCGGTTGAACGATCTTCTGCAAAACGGAGGCTTAAGTTTTGCAGTGGCGTAACATGCTCTGAAGAACAATGGCCAACAGAACAAAATAGAATATATATATATAACAACATATACAACATGCAAACCATAAAATCTGAAGGCTGTCAAGCAATGTGCCTCCATCAGCATCATACCTTACATGCTGTTGGTGGCTTACCGTAAGCAAGCAAGTTTTGACATTATGTTTACGCGGGATGCGCAGCATGTTTGCAACAAATGAGATACCCAAATGCACATTCACTCTGGATAGATCGCAAACACTTCACGGATATTTAGCTGTATTGGGGTGGGGTCAGGGGTGCATGTACAGGCTAAGAATTCCATTTGTGGAGTGTTTGGGATTGTTAAATGCATCATCAGGACAAACCAAAGGATAACTTCTCCATCAAAAGGCGCTTTCTCCTTCCTGTTTCAAAACACCGAACCTATTGGAACGTGTGTGCCTTCATTGGAGGGGTCTCCCCTAGACCCTAGACTTTGGGACAGATTTGCAGGACGCACTCCGACACACATTCACATTAGCCGCCTTTACTTCTTATTGGTGCGACTCTTAGGGAATATGGGAAGAATGAACCGAATGAACCCTAGAGATTCCACTACTTTTGTCGCACAAGTCAGAATTGCGCTCTCAAAGTCGATGATCTTTTTCAGGCCAAAGGCGCCCTCGCAGGCTGTGAGCGGGCCGCTCGGGGCGGGAGGGCGGAACGGCGATGTGCTCCTGCAAAAGCAAAGAAACCGCTGCGTGCAAGACGACCAGAAACCGCCCTGGTCGTGGCCAGAAGCCATGGGTCAGGGGTCGGACAGGGACAGGTCGGGCCGCCGGGGGAGTGGAGTGCTCAACGGCTCCCAGGAACGGTCGAGACCGAGACCAACAGACCCCCGAAGCTAGATGGCCCATGGGTCAGCTTTTCACAGGGGCAAGGGGTATGAAGGCAAGAGCTGAGCAAGCCGCACTTCGAAGGGTTCTGACTTGGTCCACTGGGCCGACTGCTCGCGATTGCAAGGCTGTAGCACGGGTGGGGGCCCTAAGAACAGCAAGAACTAAGAACATTGGTATTATATCTCCAGATCGGAAGTTCCTGGTTCAAACCCATGCGCTGACCGCTAGATATCCAGGTAATCCATTAGTTGCGGGATGTTGCAGGATTGTCAAAGCCCAACTCAGGCACCAGACTTAATGTTTGTTTAGCAAGAGTCTTTAGACTTTCACCACGAAAGCTAGCATCAGCTAGCTGAGGTTGCTCTTGCTTTAGCAAGTTTTTGGCTGCTGGCCGGAATTGGCTACCACGTGAATTTTCTACTGCTATGGCCCCCCCCCTCGATTTCTTCCTAACCTCTTTGCTGGCCCTGCTAGCTTTCCTCACCACCCCCTGGCCTCATATATTTATCATACTCTTGGACAGGAGCACTTTTGCGCGTTGGCTTTACTGTAATTGTGTTTATACTGTTGCAGGCTCCCAAATTAGTTACTGGGTTGTTTGAACAAAAGCACGTCATCTCAACAGTTGTTCAAATACTGGCGGCATTTAGCTTTGCAGGGCGAAAGGCATCAGAAAAGGAATGCACCATTTGAGTTGAGCCTGTTTTGGTATCAGTGCAGAAAATATAGGTCATTTGGTGCATCAAAATAGGGAGACCCTGGAAGGTTCGGAGAATAGACCAACATCCATTGGGGGTCTGAAAAAACCTGGCTTTGCAGCGGCTGGGCAGAACGGCACCTAGGCCGCCAAGGGCCGCCGGCCGGGTGCTCGCACCAGGCATCGGCCGAGGATCCCTGCATCAGCGCTGAGCGGTGGTGATCAGTGGATTTGTTTCATGTTTTTAGCATCAGTTTTGCGTTTGGACTCAGTGGTTTCAGAGTGGTTTCAGAGTCCGATGTTCGATCTCGATTCGCCTCAGGTTCAGTAATACGAGAGACCCGACAGGAAGGGTTCGCCCAGCGACAAGACACGTTTCGAGCGAAACGCGGAAACACCCAAGCGGCAAATAGAAGCAAAGCGTCGCTGGCAAATGAGGCGAGCAGAAGCAAGCTATACGTGAAAGTAAAAAGGGGTTGCCGGGAACTTGCGGCAACCAAACGCTGAAAGACAGCAGGGCTGCTTAGAGACGTGTGGACGCAGGGAACACTGTTCAGGGAGGCGTTGACACGTTGACACAGAAACTGTGTGCCAAAAGGACTAAACGCCAGACGCAGACAGAGAACAGTGTTCAGAGGCGTCCACAGAGAAGAGCTGCCACACCTTTTCTTGACCGAGTGTGTTGCTCGGATTTGAATATCACAACCAAAGGCCGCTGGTACAGGCGAACCAGAACATCGTTTGCTAACCAGCTTAGCCTTGTCGTTGCGGAACATTGGAACATAGTTCTTTCAGTTCTTTATGGTTTTGTGAGACCGTCGCCTGCGAGAAAACCGAATTGCATCTAACTACCAACATTTGGGTTCCCAGACATATGCCCATGGGCCCGTTTCTGCGGTAATATGTGGTAATTAACAGGAGTCATGAAAGAACAATAATAACTTTATCTTTATACAATTAATTAACATTGCTCGCAGGCACAGCATTCGCGAGAAGGGCAGTGCGCTCATCAAGTTAAGAAGCTGCAGGCCACTCGGAGACACCTAGTCTTGACAAGGCAGGAAGGTACATCAATCACATTTTAGCATTGGATTTGGTGGGTCATTTGTTCAGGTTCTTGTTCACTGGTGGGTCATTGTTGCACCTGTGTGGGGACCTGTTCACCTGCTTCGGGGCGTCGGACGCCCTGAAAGACCAATGACCAATGCTTTGTTTGGTACACTGACGGGTGCATCACTGACCATTGGTGGAATTGAAGGGACCATTGGACCATCGTTGCCCTCAGACGCAAGGTGTTGCGCTGATGATGATGCTGCCGCTTTTGCACATTCGATGGAATGAGAGAAAAGTCGATTCGAGTCCTTCAAAGAGACCACAGTCCTTCACAAATTGGTGTGAAATTGCGCTGCACCATGTCTAAAGTCTAAAGCATCCAAAGCTTGTTTGTTTCATGTTGTTTCCACTAAAAAGATTAACAGAAGGGCTTTGATCTGTCCATTTCCACACCTCATTTGACCTTGATATGGAAGGACGCTATTTAGGTGGAGGCCATCAAGTAGGTTGGAGGCCATCGCTGCTAGTAACATGAAGCTACCAGTAACAAAGGGGACTTTTGCTCCTGGCATTTGGTGGCTTCAGTAGACTCCTTCTCACGGGGGCGCAACCCGGCGGAGGCAATTCGGGCACGGGGCGCGGAAGGGCCTTTGATACAAAGGTTGTTTTTGCCTTGGAGAAGGGTATCAGTTTGTCAGTGACAGGAGTCCGAATATTATAAGCGGATTGTCATCAATTCTAGTTGAAGGTATGCTGCGGATCAAGTCCAGCATCTCAAATCTGTGCGTGTGTGTGTCCCCCTTCGTCTCTAGGAGGTTTTGAAGTACACTCGCCAAGCAGGGGCGTGCAGCGTTTGTGGTCCACTGCACGCAACGAAGCTAAGACCACAGATGGGAAGGGATCAAGGACGCTTACTGATACCGGACCTTTGGAGCCTCAGCCTCCTCAGCTTAGCAAGTGGACTTTTGGGGAGTTAGAGGGGTGCCAAAACAATTCAGCCCATGCACTCATCCTCTGGGCTCGAACCCAACCACTGAGCCACGTTGGGCCGAGCTGAGAGGCGCCATGCTGGCCGATGTGCCTGGAGCCTCAAGCGGAAAATGATCAATCCCAGACCATTAATATGATATAATAATGCCATATGATACCATGTTTGTTCAATAATCCATCCTTTTTGATCATCCATGTATGGAAAAGTCGGAATAGTTGCATACATGTTACCCATGACATTGACCAAAACTTAAGTAACATAACTTATGTAACTGTTCCATACATGGATGGTCTAGGAAATGAGGGTGTGTTTTTCTCCAGGGTACGACCTCCAGCCAGTTCGCCAGCCAGTTCGGTTTTTGCGGTGTCCGGTCTATGCCTCCCATGTATTTCGTCGGACCCATTGGAACATTTGGAGCAGCATGGTGTTCACTCCAAAGCTAAGGAGATCTTGAAGATGTGTCCTTAAACGATTCTGGGACCATTCCCTTTGCGGCTTTGGACTGAATCACCCACTTCGTCCCCACCCCTTTAAAGTTACCTCATCAAACATGCAGAAATCGACCGCACCAGCACCTGGCCACGTCCACATTTAGAGATCTCACGAAAATAAACTCTCTGTGAACACAGACAGACTTGCTGAGCCTTAAACATTGGTTCGAAGATGTTTAGCTGAGCCTTAAAGGCCGTGGACTCCCCACGATTCGATGTGTAGGGAGAGCATGCACAGAATGCTTTTCGCAAGCACGAGGAAGATGCAGCAAGACGAGTACAACTCCAAAACCCAAAGCCATTTGTTGAGGCTTCGTACGAACCATGAACATACACCCCCCAACTCTACCCTATAATCATTTGACACCAACTAGATTGCTGCATGTGCTGTGGGGCGTTGGGAACTCGCTATCACGCCTCTTTCAGGTCGGATCTTCCTCCGGCAGGGCTCTGAAGAGAGGTGGAAAGGGTCGAGCACAAAGCTGGGTGTTGGAATCCCTCCCTGTGTCCTTGGAATGGTCATCCCAATTGACTGAACGTTTGGATGGATGAAGTCACTCACCAGGAGCTGTCTCACGGCAGAGGTGATTTGTTTTGGAGTGTTTTTTTGAGCTTGTCGAACCAAAACAGATAAAACACATCTGAATTATAGGCGTTTAGAGGTTTTATACTATGTCCAAAGTGTTTTTTGGAGTCGAGTCCATGGAGAGATGTGCGAGTCCATATTGGCTGCTGCCCTCCATCCGATCTGCCGCACAGAACGTCCGAGGCCGGTGCCTTCCGGGGCCGGAGCCTGGGCCCCCGAGAGCTGCTTGCGCGCTGTGGCGCCGAGCTCTTGCCACCTGGATGCGAGGGGCAGCCGGATGGATGGGAGTAGGGAAATGAGATGTAGAGATGTAGTTTAAATAGAATCCTAAGAAGACAGGAGGAGGATTGAATGGGATTGGTCATCATCATTGTTGTGGATCATGCGGAGCTATGTAGTGGATAAGTATATAGCTATGATAGATTGTTAATTGCAGATTGTTTTGCATGATTGAATGAATTTACCATAATTTACCCCTGTTTTTGCAGTCATATCCCACTGTTGAAGCATAGCTCAACTCGACTCTCAAAAGAGCCATCAAACATGGGAAGCCCAAAAGACACAGGGTGTTTGACATGAAGCACCTGCCTGTACCCGGTACCCGCAGGCCGGCTTAAGTAATGATACATGGTTACATGGCCACAAAGCACGCTTATGCTTCGATTGGCTTGAGACTTTGTGTTGCGTTAGACCCATCCAGTTGCCTCCAGAACCAGGGTCTCCTCTTCAACTACAGTAAAAGGTTAAGACATGGCTTATCACTCACAAAGAATGCTTAGTTGGTGCGACTTCAGAGCAGTTCGTGCGACTTCAGGGTCATCATCCCCCGCTGGTGAAAACGGCTCCCAAAAGAGGGTGATGCCTCGGCCCCAAAAGCTGGTGAATTCCCCACCCCCTTCGGCCCCCTTCGGGCCCCCAGGGCTGCCAGGGCCCCCGGCGACGCCGGCCCCCAGGTCTCCACCGTTGCATCCCAAGGACGATGGTCGCGGAGACGCGTCACGTTGTAGAGAAAACCGATCGGAGCGCCCCGTTCGGTTCGTAGCGATGCCCTTGAGGTGACGATAGTTGCGAAATGTTGCACATTACTTTTAACAAGCGTGTCCGTGTTGGTGTTTCCTTTTTCATGTGATTTACATCCCTGGAATTGGTTTTCGTTCAATGGTCATCCGGCTATATTCTACTTCAATGGTGAATTTTCAGGGAATGAACTAAATTACTCAATTGGTCGATATGGGCATATTGGTCGGTAAATGTGCGGGCCCACACTTCAGGGTGGCGATGAACTTCGCCCAAAGAACTATATAAGAAACTGCCCATTGTTGTTCATCAGAGAAACACATGGTTCTTCATTGTTTTTCTGAAGAAAATAACAGGGAATTCACCAACTTCTTTAACAATGGGTGGTGGTGGTCCACCCATCATCTCGCTTCACAGTTGACCGTTTCAGCTCCGCTCGGTGCCCGTCCGTGCCCGGCTCCAGTCGGGAGAGCTTCATGCCGCGGTGCGCGATGACCCGGATCCGCAGCGGCACCAGATGCAGCCGGGGGACCGTGGGAGAGCGGTGTGGGTGGTGTGTGTGTTGAAGTGTGTTTGGTTCAAGCAAAAGTATATAGAATAGAAAAGAATAACAAACTCCAATTGTGATTTTTATTCAAGAAAAGTGAGCTATTTCTGTGTGTTCAAATATTTGTTGATTCAAACCATGCTAAGTCAAGTCCGCGTTAGTTTCGGGTGGTTCACAGCGGGGCGATGGACCGGCAGTGCTGGATTGCAGACTGAAAAATGAGGGTCCTGGCCCCTCACTTCAACTAGCCAAAGTTTTTCAAGATGAGGTTTCTGTGCTGTTGGGGCAAAATATGTACAGTGCATCACTTTTGTATCCCAAACACTCCATGTATGGCATATTTGCTGTACAAGAGTTTACAAACATTGGGGTGATTTCAGGGGTCCATGTAGGTATATCGTCCAGTCCCATGGAGTGTCGTGTTTGATATGTTTGATAGTGTTTGGGTTTGTACTCAGAATATGGACACTCATATTTAGTAATGAAGGGCATCGCTACTAGTAGCAAGGACACTACTAGTAGCTCCTGGCCTTACTACTAGCAGCAAGAAGCTACTAGTAGCGCGTGGCCTTACTACTAGAAACAAGGATGCTACTAGGTGGAATATATAGTCATTGCTTTTGGACGGAGAAATCCTGAGGCTCAACCGAACTGCCGAGCCCTATGTCTTAGCCTCTTGACGCATGTAGTCCTTCCAGACGGTGGGCCACGGTTGATGGGACGGCTGCGTTTGTGTTTGGAGGGCCCTACAGTGGTGATGTATATAATGTGCACTAAAAACATATATCAGGGTACCATGTCACCTACTCAAATGCTTTTTTGACATAATTCTGTGGAATAACTTTTGCAGGGGTGGGATATCCTTCTGAGCGACCATGGAAATCACAGACAATTTGCCACATTTGGCATACCCTTATGTGTTATTTCCCCAAACAGTGTGGACACACTAGGGGTTCTTACGGTAAGTGAAAGGGAGCTGATGCTTAGACCATCGCTATATTGTTGGAGGCCATCGCGTTTTTCGGTCGATCACAGACCCCCAGAAGAATTATCCAGGGGGGGGACGTGCTGGATTGAATTTACAAGACAGGACAGAGAGAGGAAAACGTGCACTTTCACAGTCAGAACACATATGTTCATGTTGTTTTTTGTGTTTAATGTTTTTTGTTTTTTCACATGTGTCCAGCTAGATGTTGCTAAACAAATTCACAGATTGAGTGACTATTGTCAGAGACATTGGTTGAGCAAAAAAGTATAATTCACACATTATTCCAGGGGAAGTATCTTGATAAAACTATTCCAAATGTCAAATTGAACATTGAGTAGTGTTCAATATTTTGGTGGTAGGTATCCTGAATCATATGTTTATTATTCAGAAGGGGTACTGTATCAACATGGGACCCATCTAAGGCATGGTATAATATAAGCATATATGCATATACAGACATATGTGTATATGATTGTATATTGTGAAGAACTTTCAGTACAGATCACAACTAGTATGTACAGCATAGCTGATACATGTGACCAGTGCGCAGCCCCTTTGATTGCTCAGAAAAAGTTCGCATGGTAGCGGAGCAAGGATAAGGGCAACCCCCTTTGAGCTCCAGAGAAGAGCCCCTAGGTCACTGGGATCGGAATAATGATACATTTGCT